TTATTTTTAACTTTGGATATAATAAAATTTACAATATAGTACCCTTTAAAAGATAACCATACTCCAGAGTGAATTGATCAATATAAAATAGGGAAATGTTTTTGTTATGTAACATAACATAAAAACAAATTTCCTACTCTCACAAAAAGAAGAGAGAGGAGAGAGAATAGAAAAAAGAGAAAAAATTTAAAGTGGGTCCTATATAAAATTTGTGTGTGTAGGAAGATGATTTTATGTTATGTAACATAATAAAAATAAAGCCTTATAAAATATGGTTAACTATGCCTAAGTTTTACGAACAATGTTATTGAACTCGAACTCAAACTTATTATCAACTTGATTGGAGTACTGGGATAATGTGTCAATAGTTAAATGGGAAAAAAGTTTCCGATGTTACTTTAGATAACTTTATCTAATGTTCATCGAAACGACGTCGTTTTGGAGTTGAAAAATTAAAAAATTAAAGTGATAAAGACTATTATAACCCTGAAATAAATTAAAATTACAAAAATACCATGATTTCCGTCCCAAAACGACGTTGTTTTGATGAACATTAGATAAAGTTATCTAAAGTAACATCAAAAAAAACAAACCCTAGTTAAATTGATTGAAGTTAATTTATGTAAATATATGTAATAAATATATAAATAAAATTAGGGTAAAGCGACTCTCCTATTGTAGGAGAGTCACTATCTCCAACCATTGAGACAACAAATCATGTGGGTCTCACATCTTTAAAAAAAAGTAGCACATAAATCGATGAGTCAGTGAGAGATATTTTTTATGCCGGAGCGTAAGACTCACTTTACCCATAGAATTAATATAATAACTAAAATAATGTGTCTTAAATAATGGTTAGAATTTCACTCTAGTACAAATGTGTTGATTTTTTATGGAAAAAGTGTGTGTCATTTTAAAGGATCTAAAGTTAAGTCATTTTAAGAGAGTGGACAAAAAAAAATAAAGGCGTGGGTCCCACATCCTTACGAGAGTGAAATGACATAAATTGTGTCATTTAAAAGGACAAATATTTCCCCCTTTTTATATATAAATCTTTATTTCTTATTTCTTTAAAGTTATTATTTTTTTGTTTTCCTTTATTGATTTTGTATTCTCTCTTTTCACACTTTTAACATTTTTCAACCTTTCAATTTTTTTATTTTTTATAGTAATTTTAAAATTTTAAAAAATAGAGTAATTAAACTAAATTAAATTTTAATAAACTAGGAATACATTTTATTACATATATTGATTTCAAATAGAGAAAAATAAAATACATATCAAAATTCCATTCAAGTACTAATTTTTATTATTTTGTTAGAGATATACAAAATAAATACTTTAGCCTCACCTAACGCCTTAAGGTTTTGGGTTGAAGTGGCACTTATCATGCACTTCAACCCAAAACCTTAAGGCGTTGAGTGAGGCTAAATTATTTATTTTGTATATCTCTAACATATTTATAAAACACATCATATTTTAATATTATTCTTGTAAGTTCTAATTAAAAAGCATTTGAATGATATTTAATTTATTCATTTTTTATAATTATACTAATAAAATTAGCATAAGAAGTTACTAGGATTGTTCTAGTGATGAAGGGCTTAGGTATGTTATATTAGGTTATATGTTCAATTCTCACTTGTATCAAAAAAAAATTAGCATAACCTCCCGGAAAACACGAGGACGGGGGGCTCTGGTAGATGTGATTGGTGTGTCTAATTGAGGGTTTTAGAGATTTTTTCTCTTCGTCAATTTGCATTTTGTTCTTCCCATCTCGCCCGAGGTTTTCGTCTGCCTGGCTGCCCTTATACTCTTCGATCCTCATGAACTCCTGAGCTTTCTTTTTAACTCCTTCTACGTCTGTACATCGTGCCGAGCTATTTCGTAGGTGAAGGGTCCTTAATGTAAACCAGAGAGAAGGATATGGATTAGACTTTGGGGTCAAGACCATTAATCAGCAATGCTTCTTTATCGAAGTGGTCCAGGTATGATCTGAGGGGTTCCCTAGGTTGTTGTCGTATCTTCTCGAGTAAGTGAACAGACTTTGGTACAGGTCTGCTTGTAGCGAACTGAATTTGGAATTTGTTTGCCAAGTCATCCCAAGAGGAAATGCTTCCGGTCGACAAGTTAGTGTACCATATGAGTGCTTTTCATCCCAAAAGTGTAGGAAAAGTTTTGCACATGAAGAGATCTGTTTTCCCGTGTAAAGTCGTGGCTGCATTGAATTTCTATATCCACTCAAATGGGTCAAAATCTCCAACATATGTGGGGATGTTAGAAGGTCCTATGACGGTGTAGGAGTCAATCGCAGTGCATCGGTCAGGGGCTTGTTACGTCCAGAGGGGTTGGAGGAAGTGATATGGGTAGCCAAAAGTCATCCGTATTGGCGTCGTAGAACATCATGTTGGAGGGCTGGTTGTAGTGCGTCAAGCTCGTTGTGGACAAAGTAAGAGGGTGTTGGTCTGGGCGGGTAGTTATTCAATTGTTGTTGTGTATCTGGAATTATGTAAGAGACTTGGGGTTAGGCGGGCAGATGATTGGTAGGTACAACATAGGCAAGGTGAAGAGCTCCAGCGACTTCATGTCGCACGGCGTGTGTGAATGAGTCTGTGGCATTGGTACAACTACTTGATAAGGGAATGGGTGTGGAGGATATCTAGTGACGACCAGTAAACCATGGGGACCATGTATAATGGCTGGTTGGCTTTGTTGCGGCTGGGATGGTACTTGTTGTATGCCGACCGGTAGTTCACCTTGGCCGACTGGGATTTGTTGGGGCATCCCATAGTGGATCTGATGTGGAGGTGGTAGGACTGGATCCATGCTTTCTGCTTGTTCTTCCTATAGGATTGGCTGAGGGTTAAAGTGGGAGGTATGACGGAAGAGGGTGATTTCTCTCCTCATTTCGTCCATCTGACGTTGGGTAGCCGGGTCTACAGCAACATGGACGGCAGCGGTAACCCTGGCGACATCTGGAAAGGTCATTGCTAGTCTGACTATGGCCGGCGTGGCTTGGAGAGTTGAGGCTGACTAAATAGAGGGTGTATAGTCTGAATGGGCGGTTTGAATGTGACCGTCAGGAGTGGCTGCTCGAGGTTGAGTTGTTCATCTGGTGAGGACCATGGTAATTATGCTAGAATGAAAAAAAGGAGTTCCTACCTTTCTCATAACTTCTAGTAAAGATATGAGAATTGGAGTTTACCTCTTTCTATAGACGGTGCCAATGAACCGTTGGAGTGGTATGGGAGCCACGTATGTAACCCCAAGAGGGTGTGATGTTCGATATAGGGTTTCCTAAACAACAATAGTATAGACTGAGGCTGAGCAAGGGGTCTCAGGTGCAATGTGAAACAAAAAAAGGGTAGTGGGGTGAACGGCTACGATGGCTCTCCAAGTTAATAGGGCAACGACTCATACACTAGAGATGCCCTCATAATGCAGACTGAGACAATATTTATAGGTCTCACCAAGGAGAAGGGGAGCAAGAAGTCAACTATTATAGAGAAGGACTAAGGCAGTCTATACCTTGCAGCCACTGCGATGCACACAACAGCTGTTGTGCATGGAGAAAGTAAGGGGGATCCCCAAGTGTATATTCCCGGAGCCTAAGGAGGCAAAAAAGGGATGGAGAGGTTCTCAACATAAGCCATTTTGGTGTCTTACGTTAAGGATGCCTAACAGCAGTGCAGATGACAGCGGCGCTGACGCATCAGAGGTGGCAAGGCTGAGGTGGTTAAGACCTTTTGATAATGGGTCGTCCTAGCCGGGCTAGGCAATTGAGCCTTCCAAGACAACTATTATTATAATAGTTCATCTCAGTATTTTAAGAAGCAGCAAAATTTTTAAAGGGAAGGTATATTTGAAAAAAAAACTAAAGAGAATGCAGTTCATGAACCAACAGTTGAATTTAGAGGACTGCAGTTTATATAAATAAAGGGGAAAAATATCTAATGTTACTTTAGACAATTTTGTCTAATGTTCACCGAAACGACGTCGTTTTAAGATTGAAAAATTAAAAAATTAAAATGATAAAGACTATTATAACCCTAAAATAAATTAAAATTACAAATATACCATGATTTTCGTCCCAAAACAACGTCGTTTCGACGAACATTAAATAAAGTTGTCTAAAGTAACTTTAGAAAAAACGAACCTATAAATAAATTAATAATACAATAAAACATATTAAAGATACAAGTTCTTATATGCAGCTTTAACATAACCTCAGATCCGTCAATTTCTAGCCCCGTTAACACTTGATAGTTTGATTGAGTTCATGTACTGGGTAGACTGCTATGAGTAGACAAACATTTCTAAGCTAACGCCGCTACGGGTTTCTTCCTTCTAATTCTAAAAGATAGCAATAGCGGAAAGAGAAACAAAAATTCACAATGGATCTGACATCTAGACACAAAACTTGTTTTCAGGCATTCTCAACTCTCATCACTTTGTTAAAGTAAAATAAAATAAAAAAAATCTCAACTAGTTATCACAAAACCACCAATTCATCTTAATTGAAAGTTTTCAATTATTTAGTGCGATTATCATGTGGGACACTTCTTTTATCCTATAACTGAATTGACAACCCCGGCCCCACTGTGTGCAACTCTGAGCATTGACACACAATAGGTCATGAAAACCCACTACCAGAATAAATAAGCACAGGAATTGAGGAACCTTTGAGCGTATGGTGCAGCAAGCATTTCGTGTTTCCTGACCATTTTTCAGCAACACCACGCAGTCACGCCCCACAAGAATAATGGAAACTAAGGTTGTCTTGCACAAACAGGGATAATGCAAGCTCACAAACCCGACACAGTTCTGATACTACTACAACTATCATAAACCATTAATGGCAGGAGCAAATTAGGTCATATATTGACCAAGAAAAACGTGTCCGTCTGCTAACAAGATGACACACACTGGCAACCATTAAACTCTTGTCGATAATTCCTCCCGAAAGAAGAGTTAGAAGTCCTTTATAGGTACATTCCACATCCAGAATAATCAGTAATTATCAGAAAGTACTTCGTTATTTTCAGTTATATCTACTATAAATGTAAAAGGCCCAACAAACAATAAACTCAGGTCGTACCAAGCAAACAAGAAGAACATGCCAGGACTTTTCCTGGGTCTGTACAACGAACGAAAGGATAAAATCTGGTCACTTATTACCTTGCCTTCTCTAACCCTTTAACATCTTATTCTTGCTCCCACCAAAAGTGGCAGTAAATTAGATGCAAACATTTTTATGAATACAAGTTGCTCTAGATATGGACCACAATCACATGTTATCTTTCTCAAGCAACGCTTATGATGCTATCTCCATTATTGAAACACGGCATTGCATGTAAAGCTGAATGTCTTGATGATGTTTGTCTTTGACTAGATGACAAGGACAGCCCGAGGGACAGTGTTGGTGGGTCAACAGCTGAACTCAAACTAGCAGTGATATCAGACACTGTAGAAGCTTTATGATCTGGAACAACAGGAATTGTACATACTAGCTTGGTTGGCTCATTCTGTTCCACATTTCCTTGTCCCAAAGAGAGATTTTCCATTGGATTCCCAACTTGGACTGAAGTGACTCCAGAAACAACACCCATTGGATACATGGGCATCAATGGAAATCCATTCACGTGGCTGCTTTCAGGGGTTGCAGGGTACATGGGATGCAAACGAGAGACATAATCTTCCTCCATCGGGATTGCAGAGACCTGACACAGAAAATTGAAGAAGATCATTAAAAACTACTCAAGTTACTATGATAACCTTGCGGGGATACTACCCAAAGTGAATTGTTAAGCATTTATTGATTATTGATTTCACAATAAATGTTTAAAAATCCATCACACATAAATAGCAGCCAACAAAATAGTTCAATAAGTCATCGTGGGTACCAAAACCCAAGAAACAAAACAATGACTTCTAGAGTAATTAATGCCCACGTTTCTCCAATCCTTCCAAAGTTCAAGAAAAACTGAAATCAAGTGATTCTATTCCGTTGAATTTCTCTTCAACAACCAAAGGAATTTTATTAAGAAACACAAAATACATAACCAAATAGCAAAAGTTCAATATTCTCTCCTTTTTTTCCCTTTGCTTTTACTTTGTTTTCCTAACACGGCACAAGGGATCACAGTATTCAGCTTGACTATTAATTTGAAGACTAAGAAATTTAATTCACGAAACTCAAGCTCAATTTTCATGACCATTAACACTGATTGATTAATAATCCGTTGACTTAGAATACCTAAAACAACCCAAATTCCAGGCACAAAAGTAATAACAATTTTTAGCATAAGACAACATTGGATTACCGAATCGGTGGTGATGTCAAAGAGGCTGGATCTACGACGACGGCGATTGAGGTTGCTACGGCGGAGAAAGTACTTCTGAGCATGACTAGCAACCTGCGTTGGCGTCCGCGTCTTCACGTAGTTCCTTGATATCCCTCTCCAATCACCTTTCCCCACTCTCTGCAATCCAAGCAAGAATAGCTTGTGCTCTTCCTCCGTCCATGGAATCCCTGGTCAACACAAAATTAAACAATCACCCACCAAACACACCGTAATCACAAACCCAATAACCAACACTCTTAAGTCTTATCAATGCAACAAATCAATAACCACATTCATATTCTAAAAGAAGCTCACAAATATTACACTAAAAAATAAATCAATTATGTATAAAAACCAAAAAGCAAAAAAATAAAATAAAATAAATTATAATAATAAAGCGTTGCAGAGAAATCTAGAAAGTGTTCATCGGACCTCGCTTGCGCTCGCGGTCACGATGCTTGCCGGAGCCGTGAGGAACGGCGTCGTCGGCGGAGGCGTAGCCGGCGGCGAGAGTGTCTTCTTTGTTGTTTGAGGCGTCGTGAGGGTGCTCGTACTGCGAGAGGTTGTTCATGCTCACGCTCTTCCTCATCGAATCGACCACGACCCTCACTCCGAAGAGCATGATCTCGCCGGCGCCGGAGACGGCGGGGTCAGCGGCGGCGCAGGTTAGAGGCATGTCTAGGAAGAATCTAAATATTTGTGAGTAGGAGAGAGATGAAAAGTGAAAATGGAGTGTTTATGAAGTGAGTGCGTGAGGTGATTAATATACGAGAGAGAGAGAGAGAGAGAGAGACATGAAGGGAGAAACACACATGAACTAGTCGAGGGGGCAACATGGGAAGACATGAGCGTGACTTGGCACACATGTTTAAAATAAGCATAAGGTGAAGCAACTTGTGATGTGTTAGTACTTGATACACATAATTAAAATTCTAACTATTGACATTTTGATTATAATAAATACTTATAACTTCGTCTGCAGATGAGTTAACCTTTGATTGTGATTTTTCTTTTTCTTTTTTGAGTAAACACCCTTTTTAGTAATATCTACGAAGTCTTTTTCAGTCTCTGGCAATAAAAAAGGATCAAATTGGTCCCTGAAAGTATAAGAAAAGGGTCACTCTACATATTTGGGAGTTGACATAAGGACTAACATGGCCCCTTTTTTTGTAATTTCAGGGACCAATTTGATCTTTTTTTATTGTCAGGAACTAAAAAGGACTTCGTAGATATTGACAGAAACTAAAAAGAGTGTTTACTGTTCTACTCTTCTTTTTTACATGAAAGGGATAAATTAGTTCAAGTCATGCAAGCTGGTTTAAATAATATCTACGAGCACCGTAAGTGTTACTTGTATTAAATATATATTAAATATTGGGAAAATATTTTCTAGTAAGAGAGTTTTTCTTCTATAAGTGATCTTTTGATTTTTGTGCATTATTTTTTTTTTGCTTTTTTATTTTTTGATAGATGTGAGCCCCACATAATATATGTCTATAGCATGAGAAAAAAATTCTACCACATGAAATTTTTTTTTTCTACCACATGAGAAAATCGAAACCCTTAAATATAAGTCCCATTTTTTCTGCTAATGTCTGTCTCATAGATAAAAAATGAGACTCGTTAATTTTTTTTAAAAAAAAATTACTAGAATCCTATGTTGTATTCTGATAATATATATATATATATATATATATATATATATATATATATATATGAGAAAAATATTTCTTCAACTATTTAAGATAAGCTTTTTTCAAGCTATCCCTTTTAACTATGTACTATTTTTTTCCACGTCAATAGACAAGTTCTGAAAAGTGATTGAGGAGAAAGAAAAAAAAGTAATTTTAACGTTATAATTATATACTACCGATAGTATATAGTTAAAAGGGATAACTTGATATAAGCTTATCTCAAGGGGCTGAAAAAATTTTAACGACAACATAGGATTCTAGTAATTAAAAAATTAAAAAAAAAATTAATGAGTCTCATTCTTTATCTATGAGACAGACATTAACAGAAAAGTGGCAGAAGAAATGTTAATTTATATATATATATATATATATATATATATATATATATATTAAATCATATGTATTATTATCGGAGATAATTATGTTCGAGTAAGAAACATTCATCTCATAATAGAGTTAGCTCTATCAAAGATTTTTATTTTTATTTACATAAGGAGAGCTGTAGCCCAAAAGGAAAACTAAACAAGGTTAAACATAATGCTATCTATGTACAAAAAAAACTCTTTTTGTACACACAGAGAATTTTTTATATTCATAAAAATTTGTTTAAGCGGAAATAAATATATACCACTTAAAATAACTTCTTTCGTAAAAAATATATTTTGAATACAGTAATTGATAGGATACGCATTTAATAGTATACACTGCACTTTGAGATTTTTTTTTTACTTTTTAATCTTAGAGCTCCTAACAATTTTTTTAAAATAAAAAGGATGAGTTTGTGTAAGCTGTTTAATACGTGGCAATGTGTGCGGAATTTTTGTGCGGATGTTTTACTTTTTGGTTATGATAATAAATTATTGGGTTCACTTTTTCTGCAGTTATTGCAGATAAGTTATCTGCAGTAAGTCAATACGACGTCGTTTTGGGACATATATCATGGTGTTTTTGTAATTTTAATTTATTTCAGGGTTATAATAGTCTTTATATTTATAATTTTTTAAGATTTCAATACCAAAACGACGTCGTTTTGGGAATAAATACAGATAACGTATCTGCATTAACTGCAGAAACATTTTTCCCTAAATTATTTAATTTTTTAAGGGAAATATTTCTACTTTTACTACAAAAAAAAAATTTCTCAACCGCATTCACATGAAAATAAGTGAAACTTATTTCAAAAAGAAGAGAAAAAAATAATAAGATCCACTCACTTTTATGTGAGTGTGACAGAGAAAAAAAATTTGCAATAAAAACAACAGAAATGTTAAACCCATTTTTTTATGGAACAAGTTATATTTACAAATTTTTTTGTTTACAAATTACACTGAGTACGACTGATCATACTTTAATCATGCAGTGTACGACCGGTCGTACTTAGTGTAATTTAAAAAAAAAAAATTGTAAACGATCCTATCCCATTTTTTATATAAGTAATGCGCTGTGATTGATGTTTTTGTTATACGTGTGTTTTGCTGTATCTGAACTCTGAAGAGTTAATTTCATTAATTTATTTTAATAAATAAACATTAGCTTTAAGGGAAATACTAATTTTTACAAAATTACTTTCATAAAATTTTCACGAAATTGACATGGTGGGCCGGTAAGAGAAAATGAATGTGTAAAGTTGTTTTCTAAATTACTTCTTTATTTTTTATCGCCTAAATATCTGTATATATTTCTTTTTCAGTCAACCACATATAACTTTTTTCGTCATAGAGAGTAATGTTTTTAAATTTTATTTATTTAATTTTAACAAAGGATATAAATTTCTCTGTTGTTAATTCTTATTTAACATGTAATTAGTAATTAGTTCTATAAAGATACCTTTGTAAGTGGCATTAATTATTACTTAACTGTATCGATAGGATTATTTAAAATAAACTTAAATTTAATAAATGAATTAAAAAAATTGTGTGTATATATATATATATATATATATATATATATATATATATATATATATATTAGTTCAATGAATATCATGATGATTTTTTAAGTATTTTTATATTATTTGATTAAAAATAATTTTATATGTACAAAAAACAATAATTTCACTACTTATCTTTTAGATGTTTTCTTAATTTGAATCATAAAGTTGAAAATTAAACTATGAGAGACAAATAGTCTTACATCTCAAACTGGGCGTCCATCCAAACTATTTTGATATATAAGAGGCGATGAGGGAAAAGGAAAGGAAAATATGACAGGAAATGAATATGTTAGTATTCAAGAATTTAAATTTTATTTAGAAAAGAGTAAAATATAACAATGAAAAGAGAATTATCTCCCTTCACTGTGCACTATGAGGGGCAAAGAGCTAAAGGAGATGGTATATGTGTACACTAACAACAAAGAGAGTAAGGTTTACATGATGCATATGGTGAAACCCCTCTTTTATAAAAGATTTCTTATTAAAGGATGGGTTTGAGCTAGATTATTTATCCAATCTTGGAGCCCATTGTGTCGGTCCATAACTGTTTTAATATTTTTCAAAAGTTATGTATCTAACTTCTGAAAAACAATTATTAAAACTATTTGTTTTTAGGATTTTATTTTTTATTTTTTAAAAAAATAATCATCCAAAGAATTTATAAACATTTTTTGCGTAATAACTTTTTCATTTGAAAAACACACACATACACAAAAACGAGTTTGTGATGACTGTAATAATAGAATAGGAGATCGACTCATCAGGTCCACAACTCATAATGTGTTGGATTAGGTTGGGGTTTTCGTAACTCTTCAATTGATCAATGGTTCGCGTTATCCTATTTAGTCACAGGGGGGAAGTGTGTATCATTTTGAAAGACATAAAATTATGTCATTTTAAATGAGAGAAAAAGATAAATCATAAAAGAGAGAATGAGGAAAAAAAAATTTAAAAGTGTGGGTCTCATCTCTTTGTGAGTGTGAAAAGATATAAGATGTGTCATTTAAAATGACACACTTATCGCGAAGGTGGGCTGTCCTGTCCTTACAATTCTCGATATGGGATTAAGGGGAAAGTTTTATGGATATCTTGTCAATGATTTTGTGTTAAGTGACACAACATAATTGACCCGCGAGTGATCAATGATAATGATAACTTTGACAAAACCACCAATTGTATACGAGACAAACTATAACTAGAAGTTTTACTAGATATTTGTGATTGCATTTGGACAAAACAATGCGAGTTTCACCATATTCAAATTTGACCAGCACAGAAAGCATGCAACCAATGCTGGTGGTGGTGTCCTTGGTTGAGCAGACAAACATGAGAAACAGAAACCATGAGGGAAGACCATTGTTGAGAGCTCTTTTGATTAAAGTGTGAACACAATTTGTTGTTGTCCCTGTTAAGGAATTTATAAAATTTGGATTGCTTATCAAGATAATAATATAGAATGGCATGGAAAAGTAAAATAATGATGTAATTGGGGCTTAATTTCGTTTTAATTATAATTACAAGTTATTTTTTACCTGAATATACGATTAATTTAAATTTAAAATCTATAATTATAATTTTTTTAGTTAAAATACAAATATTTAATATATTTTTTAATTAACTTATATCGATTTTTGATAAATTATAATTAAAATACTCTAAAGAGATTTTTTTTTAATGCAAATTTTATAAAGTAAAATAAATTAATCCAAACATACTTCTAATCTTAAAAAAGTTCATACAGAGACACGTATTTAAGTTTTAATAACTATATAACTAGATTTCATTTTATTTGTTCGTCGCAGATGTTGTACACCATTAATATAAGTTATATATAATTCAATATTTACATGATTTACATTCAAGTTGGCAAAATAAAGGAAAGGTTTTTTTTTTCTGACATGTTAAATTACTACGAGAAATAAAACTTACATATTTTTTATTTTACAGTTTTATTAATAACTTTTTAATTTAATCTCGATTACATACTTAATACTTATATAATTGTTATTATCATTGCTTACTCCTCAAAAAAAAAAAATGGTAACAAACTCCTCAAAACATTTTTATTATTATGTATAGAATATAGATATACATATTAACATGACTTTTACTTTTATTCTAAATATACTTAAGAAATAATATATTATTAACTTTTTGTCAATAAAAAAATTTATTATCTCATAAAAAAGTTCTTAATCAGGTTT